ACATAACTACATAGCCACAATTAAGCCACTAGTTATTAGCGGAAGGCATTTGTTTCAAATGAGACACTGTGGACAAAAAGGAGAGGAAAAAAATGTAATCGAGACTCCATATTACGTTATATGAATGACGTAGTAACTTTCTTCTAAAGTTTTATACACTAATTGTTGAATACATGAGATAATGACAATATTTTACAAGTTTTATTGAGACAAAATAACTATAAGTGAATAAGTTGAATGCATGCGACAAATTGATTAGAGCGATGTAACATGATTACTACTTCGTAACTCATTTTCTAGCATATCAGCAGAACACTAGATAGACAACGAATGACTATGTTAACAGTTTCCCATCGCTGACAAACATCTAATTTAAGTACTAAAAAAAGTAAAAGCAAATTATTCAAATAAGGAATAGCAATTAAGACGCATCAGAACTCCCAATTCATCAAACAAGGCATGCCTTCCATATCTCTAATGGATCATACTCAGCACGCTCAGCTCGAGACGACGTGAAAGGAAAAATCCAGCAGATGCATCGCATTTGGAAAACTCTCAATGTCATCCAATATTGGCGAAGAGGACTCGGTAGATTTTCCTCTCAAGCCATAATCGCTAAAACCCTATGGATACAATTAATTCAAAGTTTATCAGTCAAGATACTCTCTCATTGGTATGAGTGTTACCAATTTCCTTGAGACACTGAGGGGATTTCACAAGCAGCAACTCAGGAAAGCAAGCAGCCTAAAAGGCGAGGCATGCTGCTTGACTGTAGGAATGTATCAATCGCTATTCAACACAACAGTTTACACCATCAAAACATGGGTGGTCTATGACCCAAAACACCAAAAATTCCTCCTTACAACAAGAACAACAATATCACACAATAACAAAACCCAGCAACTTCCCCGCCCCCCCCCAAAAAAAAAAAAAGAAGGTATGTGCAATTCAAGCTTAAAATTACAACAAAGCTTGTATTGTGTGTTTTCAAACATATAGCCGTATATGTTGATCAAATGGTAGACTCACTGTTATATTGTCACACACAACAGCAGATTACTTGGACGGATTTGTGCAAATAAAGTGAACAATATTTAAGTCTTCTAGAACTTCTCATTTCAATAAACCATTTGCCCAACTAGAATTGTCCATTCAATGCTCTATAAACACAGGTCCTTATAGGCAAATAATTTGCAAAAAAGGAAGCAACATGCTCACCTAAGGATTCAGCTACTACCAGGAAATGCACAAGCAAGATACCTAGGGAGAGTTCCAACACTACAAAAGGGAAATAGAATGGAAAATATATTTAGTTTTCCATGGTCGAAAGATAGTCCTATTGTTCTTGGTATGCGTCATGTAGATAGCACAACCTGCTGCAGCTCTACATTTATAGATCCCTTGATTTTAAACTGAATTTTGTTATGACTATTGAGCAGGACCGAGATTTAAGGATGCATTCCAAGACCCAAATTCATACCTTGCCATAGAGCCCATCTTTGAGGTATTGTGTCCTTTTTAGGGGAGATATCTCACAAGCTGGGAACTCACTCTCTGTTTCTCTCATGTGCGTTCTTTTCAATTACCTTCCCTCTTCTCACACATGATTTCAAGTTCTTCTCTTTATATATATTTCTTTGACTTTTACAGAAAGAGAGGTAAGATGGTCTCAGCTTTATATGAATCTTGTAAGATGGTCTCAGCTTTATATGAATCTTGTAAGATGGTCTCAGCTTTATATGAATCTTGTAAGATGGTCTCAGCTTTATATGAATCTTGTAAGATGGTCTCAGCTTTATATGAATCTTGTAAGATGGTCTCAGCTTTATATGAATCTTGTAAGATGGTCTCAGCTTTATATAGGCCTTTCAAGAGCAAAGTTACAGAACAGGTAGGATGAATTTTTATAACTTGATTTTTTTTTTCATATTTAATCAATATTGACTCTCGTTAGCTAAAATGTGTAAGTTTGCCCTGTAATTTTGCTTAATGAATGAAGATTAGTTATGAATTATATAAAAACAAACATGTTTTATTGTCAAGTATTTTCAGTTTTAAATTATCCAGTCAAGTATTTTCAGCAGGCATTATACTATTATCCTAAATATCAGTATAATGGAATTATTTTAATACTGAAAATACTTGAATTGGTGGTCCATTCATGAATTGGTTGAATACTGAAAATTATCCTAAATACTGAAAATTGGTTGTCCATTCATGAAAATAATACTAAAAATATTTTCAGTATGGACAACTAATTATAAATACTGAAAATTGAATTATCCTAAATACACCAGTTTTGAATTGGTTGTCCATTCATGAAAATACACCAGTTTTAAATTATCCTGATTTAAAACAATTGGGACCAAGATTTTGTTGAGTTGAATGGCACAAACTTGCAAACATTGCATTGTACATGCTTATCATTTTTTAATCCATTTTATATCTCTGCAATAGTGGACGCATAACGTGCACTTTGCTAATTGAAATTCTTGGCCTCAGTTTGAGGGTTTTCATAAACATTTTGGTGTTTATTTCCACCTTTTGATAAAACCAATGTGCTTTGCTACTCAACTTTGTTGTGTAATTGACCTATTAAGATGCTAAACTTTCCTTTTTATTTTTTTTCAAACCTTATGCTTACAATGCAGCTTCCCCATTCTTGCATGCAATGGCAGCCTACCATGCTTTTGTTTTTGGCCATTTTACAGTTCTGAAAAGGTGCTTATTTTGGTCCATTCTTCATGTTTCATTTATGTCCTTTCATGGTTTGGGGCCTCCATAGGTCACTTCATGTTATATCCCTCTTTTATTCCCCATTCGTGCATGTTTAGTTAGCCTACCATGCTTTTGTTTTTGGCCATTTTACAGTTCTGTAAAAGTGCTTATTTTGGTCCATTCTACATGTTTTATTAAGGGCCTTTGGCTGTTTGGTGATTATTTTGCATACCTCATGTTATAGCCACTTTTGAGCCTTATTTTGCATCACATTTTTAGCATGTTTGTATACTGATTTTGAGGCTGCCATATACTGTAAATATTCATATTTCTGGTCCCTCTTCAGTGTTGTAGAAGGAAAATTTTCAGTTTGGATTTTGCTTATATCACTTACTTCATTACCCCTCTTTTGGCCCCTATTCTTGCATGCCATTTTTGCCATACCTATGCTTGCTGTTTGACCATGTCTATAACTGTGAAAGTGCATTTTTTGGGACTGTCTAGCTTCTGTCTTTGCATTGCATGTCCATATTGTGCATGTTTGGCATAGCTATAGGTCATTTCGGGTGCTTAAATTCACATTTCGGGACAATTCCATGCATTTCATGTCATTTCGCCTCATTTCGGGACTGTTTTCCCCCATATTTTACTGCTGAAATTCCATTAGAATGATTGCTATCATTTTCATGTCATTACATAGCATTCTGTCATTGCCTCGGTTTGCGTGCCCGTGTGCACGCATTTCGAGGCACCCCATTTTTTATCCGCCGGCATCCTATGTGAGTGTGGCTGAGGCTCACTCATGTTGGTATAAGCCCATATCATGTTTTCATGGCGTCTCATTGCATTCCGCCATTGCCTCGGTTTGCGTGCCCGTGTGCACGCATTTCAAGGCGTCTCATTGCATTCCGCCATTGCCTCGGTTTGCGTGTCTGTGTGCACGCATTTCAAGGCGTCTCATTGCATTCCGCCATTGCCTCGGTTTGCGTGCCTGTGTGCACGCATTTCAAGGCGTCTCATTTGCATTGCGTTTGCCATCGCCTCGGTTTGCGTGCCCGTGTGCACGCATTTCAAGGCGTCTCATTTTCATTGCATTCATGTATTTTCTCGGTTTGCGTGCCCGTGTGCACGCACTTCGAAGTATCTCATTTTCACAGCATGGTGCATACTAGGATTGTATCTTAGTTGCATTTCATGCATATCATGCATATTGCATCGTGTCCGGAATAGGAGTTAGCCCGGGCACGGGAAACGAGGTACATTTCGTACTCCGAGTGACGGAATGTGTCTCAATTCCCCAGTCACCGACACTCCAGATTATCCATGATGGAGTTAGGTTTTAGCTGTAGCTTCATGTGCATTCATCCTATATTGAGTTGTGCATTTCGACTCCTTGGCCATCCTGCCTCGGTATGCGTGATTGATGGCACGAGGATTGAGACATGCATATATCTGTGCAAATACATTGCTATGCCCCTTTCCTGCTCTCTGTTGCAGCAAAACGAAGGATTAGCAACTTTTTGGGGCTTGGCATGCATTTCAAGAACAGGCGTAAACAGAGGCTAATTGGGGCATTCCGGTGGATTTCCGCGCAAGACAACCCGGACATGCATCATCCATCAGAAGCAAGGCAGTCCCTGGCTTGCACGCCAGTTTTACTTGCTTTCTTAGTTAATTCATTAATTAATTAGGATCTTGTAATATTTTGGACTGTAATATTTATTCGGGACTGTATATTATTTATTCGGACCCTCTGCACGAGGGCAATGTTGTAATAAGTGTGCGTGTGTGTGTTGTATGTCTTCCAACCCCACGTCTTTCTCCCTTTTATTTATCCGCTTACGATGGTTAGATTAGGGCATGTTTAAATTAGCATACAGCATGACAGCATGTTTGCATTCATTCATCTGTATTGCATGCACCGGGCTCGGCGCATCATACTAACTGCATTGTACTTTCAATTCCAAATTGAATAAATCATAGCTGTAGCATTTTATATACCATCTTAGAATAGCCGAGCCTGCTATAATTGCATTTTGTATGTGTTGCATTAGGCATTTCTGTATAATTAGGATCATGCATGATTTCTAATGAGTTTCTTATTTTGGCTTGGAGTACTCGGTAAGCTTTATGCTTTAGCATCCTTGCATGCGTGTGAATGACTGCCATGAATAGCATGCTTACCATGAGGCTATGTGCTTATATGATATAACTGCCTGAATGCCTGTGGGTGAAGGTTGGGTTATCTGAATTGGAATAAATCATCAAATGTTTCAAGCCTACCTGCGGGTAGCAAACCATTTTCAAAAACAAACATGAAATGTTTCGTTCCAAATCAGGCGACCCGGTCTATATTTGTATGCTGTGAGCACCACATAGTAACCTAGGCTAATAACCGGAATAAGAACTCACAATGTTTTCAAAAATATATCATGGTTAGTAGAGGCCGGTCTATGACCGGGCGAGCGGGGTGCTCACGAAGTGACCTTCCCCAATCGTACCCAGTTCCCGAGCCGAGGCAACTTTAGGTGATGACGGACACGTGGCCTTTGCACCGAGTCAGGGTTTCCTAAATTTCCCAAAATAAAAATTAGTGGCGACTCTGTATTTGGCAAAGCAGTCCATGTTTGGCACTTCTTTCAAAAATCTGTTTTCTTAAAACGATTTGCCGGATTTGGATTCTTTGGTAGATTAGGAACCGTGACATTTAAGAGTCCGAGCTGTAGTGACCCCAAATGAACAGAACGGGACTTAACCCTCCGGGGGCGTTCGGGGACGTCTACAGGGGCAATTATGTAATAAGTGTGCGTGAGTGGGTGTATGTCTTCCAACCCACGTCTTTCTTCCCTTTTATTTACTCGCTTATGATGGTAGACTAGGGCATCTTTAAAATTAGCATACCTTATGCAATGCATGCGTGCATTCATACATTTGCCTTGCATGCACCAGGCTCAGCACATCATTATAACTGCATTTGTACTTCAATTTCAAATTGAATACGTGATAGTTGTAGCATTTCACATACACATGTTTAGGTTAGCCGAGCCTATCTAATTGCATCCTGTATGTGTTGCATTAGTCAACTTGACATGAACTAGGATCACGCATGTTTGCTAACCAGTTTATTGTTTTGGCACGGAGTACGATGTAAGTATTTATGCTTTAGCATCATCGCATGCGTGTGAATGCTATCATGACAGTATGCTTATCATGTGGCTAGATGCTTATGTGTTATAAACTGTTTGAATGCCTGTGGGTGAAGGTTGGATTGTTTGAGTTGGAAAAACTCGTTGAAATCCGTATTTTAGCCTACTTGCGAGTAGCAAATTCCAAAACACTTTTTTTCAAAACAAACGGATATGCAATGCTTGTTTCCAAATTAGGCAATCTAGTCTATACTTGTTTGCTGCGCGCATAACATAGTAATTCTAGGCTAATAAATGGAATAAGAACACATAACGTTTTCAAAAACGGATATCACGGTTAGTAGAGGCCGATCTTCGGATCGGGCAAGAGGGGGTGCTCATAGCTGACCTTCCCCAATCGTACCCTAGCTCCCGAGCCGAGGCAACTCTGGTGATGACGGACATGTGGCCTTCGGTACCGAGTCAGGGTTTCCTAAATTCCCCTATAAAAAATATTTGGGTGGCGACTCTGTATCTGGCGAAGCAGTCCATGTTTGGCACTTCTTTTTCTAAAAATCTGTTTCTCAATACGATTTGCCAGATTTGGACTCTTTGTTTCAGATTAAGAACCGTGACACAAATCGAGTCCGAACTATAGTGAGGCCCACACGGGCGCGTCTACAGTTATTACAGACCAATTAATTAATTAACAAATTAACTAATCTAATGAAAGCAGTAAACGGCCTCGGGAAGAGGGCCCAATGCAATGCGCACTCGACTCCGCTCGGAAAGTCACTGCCATGCACAAGTTTGCCTCTGCTTTGACTGTTCTGCTTCTCTGAAAATTGCACAACTTCCAAGGTTGCTTCTCTGAGTGTTGTGGGACAC